TCATTGTTTTGTTGCGTTGCTTTTTTCAGGTCTACCCTTACTTTGTTTTACTCACTCCCTATTGTGCTAACCTGATTGCAGTCTCCCCCCTTATTACCCTTTTACTCCTACTGGTACTTTGGTACAGTACTTGTTAAATAAATCAGATTTTATTTGTGCGTTAAAAAAATTCAGAACAGGATTACAAAATCCCGACTGAACAGAAGATAAAAATACAGCAAGTTTTCTAAGCGCTTTTTTTTTTTATAATATCGTTTTAGAATATACTTGACCATTTAAAGAACATACAATACCGTATCGTAATAGTCCAGAAAGAAACATACATTATAATTTATTCAATATCAGTAACTAACAATCGCATGTCTAAAAAATGTCAATTACCAAAGCAGTTTGCTACTTTGATACAAGGGCGTCATTTGATTAGGGCAGGGGGGGGGGCATTTGTTCACAGTACTCCCTTCAGACATNGCCAGTGCCAGTGGCAAGAGGCGTAGCTAAGGGGTGGCAGATGGGACATATGTCCCGGGGCCCCAGACTGGGGGGGGGGTATTGGAATTGGGTGGTATTTAATGGTTGAATATAATGGGTTTCAGAGTTGAATTTAATGTTTCTATTAGACTTTTATCAACTGGGAAGGACATTTTTAAGGTTTTATGGGAGGCAATATGGTGCCCAGTGCCAAAAATAAACTGAATTCACTATGGTTGTGGCGTACTCCAGGTTAATTATTTGGCACAAGCTTAAAATAAACCGCTTACTGTACCATTGATCAGCGTGAGGAAGGAGGTGCAGTAATTAAGAGTACTAAAGACAGTCGGGCAAACTCAAAATGCAGGGGTGCATTTTGTCGCTTACTTTAATTTTTTGTTTCTTTCAGGCAATTTTGAGGTAGCATTTCAAACTTTCGGGTGGTAAGTTTAAAAAATTAGTCATAATAATGATCACAGACATATAAAATCCCGCACCAGCGGGACGTAAACTAAATTCATTCCAGTTGTGTCCTCTTTGCGGGTAAAATACAAGAATGCATTTTATCACATATCTGAATTTAGTTTTGCAACCTTCTACACTTAATTGGATAGCAACGGAAGAGACCCTAGCTTTAAAATGTGAGTGCCACATAACATAAGAATTATCATGTTCATTGTTTCATTCAGACATTTTCCCCCGGGCGGAGGGTATTTCAGATTTTCGGGGGGGGGGGGGCAGTGGCCAGCAGATGCGTATCTAAGAGGTGGCAGATGGGACATACGTCCCTAGTGAGGGCACCAAAATGGGCTCTGGTGGTATTTAATAGATGAAAATAATTAGTTTCAGAGTTTAGGGGTGGGCGTAAAAATAAATTATACCCCCGACGCCAAACACTAGCTTCGCCCCTTCAAATGGCGTAGAAGGGGGGAGAATCAGTTTGTTCACGCAAATAAATACAAAGTTAAATCGCTATGTACTGTGGTGCCTCAAGTAAGAAGCAACTTAACAAGCCGACCATGTTTTGCTTATGCCCCCTCCTCCCACCCCAAATGGCACCGCTGCTTTGATAAAACGAAGATGGGGTGGGGTTGCAGAAATTGCAGACGATCGTCGAAGCCACCTGAGGGAAAGTCGTATCCCATGACTTTAAAAAAATATAAATTCAAAATGCAAGGATGCACGTTTGCGTACCGGTATACCTGAATATAGTTTTGCACAAAATTCTACACTTAATCGGAGTGCTTGTGGAAAATGAGGTACCCTCTCCTTTGCTGTATATAAATCATTTTTATTTTAGTATCGGTACATACATGGGCGTCCGCAGGTAGGGAGGGGCAAGGTGGGGCACTTGCCCCCCCCCCCCCCGGATTGATTGGATAACATTTTTTTAGACAAATAAAGAGAAAGTAACTAAGCTGATGTCCTGTCCGTTCGTTCACCATACAAATACGCTACAGTTAATTAAAACTATATTAAAACATTACTAAAAAGAATTAGCCCCCCCCCCCTGGAAAGTTAATCGATTTTTTTGCCCCCCCCCCTAGAAAGTTTTCTGCGGGCGCCCATGGGTACATTCAAAACAGTAAAACTGTCTTATAATTTTTATTTAAGATAACCTATTTCAATCGTTGGGGAAAAAAAGGAAGGGGGGGGGGGTTACACCGGGGATTTTTTTTAAAAAAAAGGGAGGGGGGGGGAGTGATGTGCGCACTGTCAGAAAAAAAGTTGTATATTTTATATAGAATGTGCGTTTATCTCAATAATGAAAATTATTGCCAACCGAATGAAGAAATCAGTTCATATGTGATACATCACACGCGGGCCATAATATTATTTAACGTGGTGGGCTGGGCGTCGTCATCGCTGCCTAGGAATCTATTTAAGTTTCCTTTAACTACATATAACAGTATAGTCAAATAACCACAGCAAGCTGTAGTGGGAGAAGGGGAGTTCTTGAACTTCAGCAAAACTGGGGCACTGGTATTAAAAATTAAAAATTGTACAGCTGCCTAGTGACTTCGAAAAATAATAGATTTCAAATGGCCGCCTATTGGATGATCGTGTCGTATAAAATATGCCGATGCTGTGTGAAGCAGTTGAGAATGCATGAATACAAATTTAAAACTCTAGTTTTCTCCATTTCCGCAATTGCGGTTCCGCCGCAGAACGCCATAATTATGTCACCAACTTGCATCGTTTAACTACAACAATTAAAGCGAATATTATTTTATATCGACTAAATTTGTCGTCAGGGCCAGGGTGACTACGCTAAATATTACAATTACATGTGCCGTATCTAGTCTAGTGACTTCATTGTGGAAACATCAAGACCATCAATGCGATAAGTGGAGGTATTAAGTCATAGTAGGAAGAGTCGGGGCACATTGGATCAACGGGCACTGTGGATCAAGGGGCACTGTATCAATCAGTGGTATTTTCTACCAAATCACCGGTAAATTTTTGTTGCTGGTGTCATCATTATTTATAATTTATACAGTATCAAAATTAAATTTTAGGACCTTCTCTAATTTTATTTTACAGGTTAAATTATTGAGATTTAACCAATTTGATGTAATTGATTGTCATTCTTGATCTAGTAGCATTTATTCAAACAATTTACCAGTCCTATGCAGCCAGCCATGTAGCAGAAAATTCAATTTGTTTTTTTTTTTTTAATTACGGGGCACAGTGGATCATTTAAGCTGTTGATTCACTTTGCCCCATTTATGCTCTTTAATATTTTAAAATATTGACATACAGGTACATATGTTAAACAAAAGTTGGTGGAATAAAGCTTTAATCAGAAAAAGTTTGAATAGGGCCTAGTTTTTATTACCAATGAATAGTAAGATAAGTGATAAGACATTTTAAATTAAATAATTATTCTTTAATAGACTGATTGTTTTGACAATTATTCTCTAGCGTTTCTTTTTTTTTATCTCCCAGATAAAATGGTTAGAAACAGAGTCAAATCGAAATGTTGGTAATACAACAGCTGAAGCCATGAAGGAGGCTGTACCACATGCAGAGGCGTAGCGAGGGGGTGCAGAGGGGAGAGATGTCCCCAGCTAGTTAGGGGCGCCAAAATGTGTTTTTATATTTTATTGATGAAATTAATGGATTTAATATTTCAAAAAAGAAAAATGGGCACTTTACAATGAATCTTGTCCCCGGGCGCCAAACACCCTCGCTAGGCCTCTGACCACATGTTTTGGAGGAGGGAAAATCTCTTAGGACTGTTAGCAAAGACACCAACATTAAACTTTCAAGTCTCCGCAGATATGTCGGAAAAAGCCACCGCACAATCTGGATTAGACCATACATTGTCATACATCGTTTTCACCCAAATATAAATGCTGCCAAATTTATGATAATGAAGAAGAGTCATAGCCCAGGCCATTGCTCCACTGAGGGACGGCACGCGTTGCTCGCCATTTCAATTTTAATGTTGATTTATCGTTGATTTTTTGCAATTATTGTTTGCTTGTCATATCATGCTATAATTTTAATTGGGACGTGCCACACTTCTATTGCTGCCCACAGATACTACTTAGCAGCTAAGTGCTATTTCTTATTTTTATAACGTTTTTTCTGTTGTTTTGTTTGCTGACGAAGGCTTTCTGCCGACACGTTCGCTGTTTTGTTGCGTTTATTTTTTCAGGTTTAACCCCATACTTCTATTGCTGCCCACAGATACTACTTACCAGCTAAGTGCTATTTCTTATTTTTATAACGTTTTTCTGTTGTTTTGTTTGCTGACGAAGGCTTTCTGCCGACACGTTCGCTGTTTTGTTACATTTATTTTTTCAGGTTTAACCCTACTCTGTTTTACTCATTTTATTTTATAATTTTAATTGTTTGGTGATACAAATAAATAAATGATTCATTTAAAAATTGTTTGCCTGCAATTTTCAGTGTCTATGGTTTAAAAAAATAAGTAGGTTGTATGACTGTTTATATTAGGCTCTCATATGAAAACTAACATTCAGTGCAATAATTGCCTTAAATTCACTACCCTCACTATAATTTAAGTCAATTTTAAGTAAGCCTCACTATAATTTAAGTCAATTTTAAGTAAGCCACAGATAGTGTTTCCTTTTCCATATTGATACAATGTGCCCAAGTACTAACCATAACGTAATAATATATAAGTACCGGTAGGTACAGTATATAAGTATAAGTGTAGTGTAGTACTTATACCATTAAAACATGAGGTACCGGTACATTTAATTCTGTAAAGATTTAATCTAAAATATCTGAATTACAGTGAATAGGGCGATAATCAAAACCAGTGATATTGGGTCCATAATAATTAGCTCCATCAAAAAATTAAGTTTGATTTTGAATAAAGTTTGAAATTATTAACTTACTAATCATCAAAATTTTTCCCTAGCAAGCAGATTCAGTGTCTTGCCACCTATTTTTAACATTTCTAGCAATTCAGAAATCATATGTTCGTAATCAGATAAAACAAGTCTTGAGAAACATGATATCGGACAAATTTACAAAATAAACAACAAATAAAAGTTCAAAGTAATTTAGACAATTTTAACATTTATTGTTTAGTTTTGATAGGCAAATGAGTTTACAAATACCTCAAAGACCAGATGGAAAATTAAAAAAACAACTGACCTCTCTTATAATCTGGAAATTACATTATGATATTAAAAATGCTGTTAAATCTTTTTCTTGACTTCATCGCTAGCTGCAATAAAAATTACGACAAATAGACTAACTGTGGCCTTGGAGTCTGTGTAAGAAAAAGCACAAACTACCATTTTCTTGGAAAAAGGAATAAAACAAGTAAAAGTTAACAATGAAATAAAAGGACAAGAAATATTTTAACTTCAATTGAAAGCCTTGTCTTAAAAATTGAGTCAAGAGCAGACAACAAAAGCCATTGGTTAAGATAAATGCTGCTTTACCTCCAGTGCCTTTTTACAAACTAAAGCCTTATCCTATCATACTAATAACTACACCTCTCAGAAAACGCTAACACTATATGTATTCTAAATAAAGGCAAACCATTTAATGAGATATTTTGGAATTATCAACTTTAGGAATTCACTACTGATCAACCCCTCAATATTTAAACAAACTTAACGACCTTAAAAATCAAATAAGGTTACATGAACAGTTCTTTAAAAACCTGCTTTCACCTATTGTACCGTACCCCAAAGTGAAATCTTACAGCATTATCAGATCAAGGATGGCCTGGCCAGCTTTCACCACAACAGCACAAAGCTGGTCTAAAAATTGGGCATCAAGGGCAACAAAGTTTATTTACAAAAGGAATAGTGACATCAGCCAACAGTCACATTTAAAAAATGAGCAGCTCAATTATATTAGACAAGGCTTTCAGTAATAGAAATTCTTAATTCAAAATTTTGATCACTTATACAGACAAAAGAACAATTGGACAAATTTGAAACGTAACCCTTATAATGGATTGTGATAGATTAGTTACTTTCACTTTCTCTCTGATTTTGTATACATGAAACCTGGTGGCGATGATAATGACAATGTACTGATATTATAACAAAACATGAAAAAAAAAAATGTAAAAAAACTTAAATGGTCCTTTCTTTAACCCTCCTCTTCTTCATCCTCCTCCTCTCCTTCACCTTCTTCTTCCCCTTCCTGAAACGAAAAATCAAATCAAAATCTATAGCAAAGTAGATTTACAAAAATGGAAGGTTGTTTTTATTTCAAGTGAACCATTGAATCTATGACATGGTGCTAGTTTTTAAAATCAACATAGCCTTTTATTTCTTATGTTTCTAAAGATTAGATTTACTAAATAGTGTCCAGTTTTAAAAACAAATGTTTTTTTACGCTGACTATAACTTTAAATCACACTTACTTCATCAGGTTCTTCTTCATCTTCATAGTTGCCTTCATCATCCAGATCATCTTCTTGAGCAAAAAAAAATCGTATTAAAGCAAGGTCTTAAAGTGTACTAACTAAAGTAAATTAATTATTTGCTCTTTAACTTTTTAAGTGTTCCAACATTAACATACAAATTATGCACTGCATTCATTATAACCCAATAAATTTATTATAAACAATTATTGATGAATTTCTCCAGTCTAACTAGCAATGTGTGCGTGAAGCAAGCCTCATATTCCAAAAAGTTAGGTAAATTATGATATATTATCACTCTCCATATAAATAGTGTAAAATATACTAAAATCAAAATATTTTTAAAATGCACACCTTCACCACCGTCACCTCCTGTCTCTTCGTCTATTTCAGATGCCTAAAAAAAATATTCAAAATTATGACAAAGCTATTAAAAAAAAAACTGAGACATCAATGCATGGAATTAATTTTTCCCAACAGAAAATAGAGGGGCACATGTAAAATCATTTGTACATAAGATCATTTTAAATTAGAAACAAAAAAAATGGAACTATGAAAATATTAACTTTCTGAAATTATCTAACAAGTGGAAGACAGCAAACAGAGCGAAGGGAAATAAAAAAACATAAGACACAGTCAATATTGATGTAGCACATCTCAGACAGACCAAGTTGGCTGTTATTTTTCACTGCAGCCTAATATTCATTCTCATGACACGATGGCGTAATCGGAATGATATAAAACGGGAACTAGCATCACACCCAGTTGCAATGGAAAGGATTAACTGACTATTGGCTAACCTACTAAAACAAAACTTGGCCTTTCTACATTGGCAAAGGGACATAACTCTAATCTAAAAGTATATTCTTTAAAATGCCATTGTATTAAATATAAAATTGAATGAAATGTCAATCACAATGAAAAGAAATGCTTATAGAGTGGTTAACCATAATATTTCAAGTATGGCCGTAATTCGATAGTCTTAGTATTATCTCATGTAAGTTTAACTTTAATAATAATAAATAATCTTTTAGAAACTTTATTTTAAAAAATGAAGCCCTAAACTGAAGAAAATCTTGAAGAAATACTACTCACCAAATAGTATTGTAATGGATTAGGCCAGATATCATCCTTTATAACTTCACCGAGCTCATCAGCACCTGCATCTCCATGATCCCCAAACCAGCTAAAAAATGATTCTTGTTCCTCAAGGCTTCTTTTTTTCCCTTTAGTAGCATTTCCTTTCTTTGTCAAATCCTAAAAATGATGGAAGGATTTTTTAAAATTATCACATCAGTTATATTATTAATATTATATTAAAAAAAAAATGAAAACAAAGTAAAATAAGGTGTTTAATTTTCTTTACCTTTCCTTCCTTCCATTTAATTGGTGTAGACTGTGATGAAGGGTCACCAGTATCATTTAAATGAAATTCTTTCGTCAACATTTCATTGGAAAAGTAGGGATTTGAGTCGAAGTACTAGAACAAATCAGGATAAAAATATCTTTTAGCAATCAGATACTGGTAGGTAAAATGCTTGTCTAGTCAACAGAAGTTGGATTATGTAGTAATATGTCATAATACTTGGATTAATAGAATTGTGAATATTTATTGGAACAGAAAAATCAAATTATTCCACCCCAAAATATACATACAAAGTTAATTCTGTAGCCTGATTTGATGTCCTCAAACTCTTGAACCTCAACCTTAGTAAGATACTGAAGTGCCTCCTCATCATCTTCATTGAGTAAGGCTGACACTTGAGGATGATTAACAAACTTTCAAGTGGTTAAGGCAAACTGCATAATTTTTTTTACAATATAGGTTCAATTATAAATAAACCTAACTTAGGAGTTGCATTATCTTATTAATAAAAAATGCTAGCAGACCAAGACTTAATTTAAAATTAAATTTATTTGACAAGCACAAATCAGAAAGAAATTCAATTTTCTGCCTTTATATACATATAAAAATTCTTTGACCAGTTTTGTAATGGCCTAAAACTTCATGTAGAATATCTATTGAATATTTACTAAAATATATCTATTAATAAATATTTGCTTTAATTAAGCCATATCTGACTGTCTTAAAGCGGCCCACTCGTTGTGAAAGTTTATGGTAAAATTACTTTAACAGAAAGGATACAGCAGTGACCCAAAAGTTTGGAATTTTTGCTATAAGGTCTGATCTCTTCTTAAAGTAAGGCTGCCTTAGTGTGTTATATTTCTGTTCCACTTTAAGGATCTCTTCACTTGCATTTTCATTCAGCTTATCTATTTCATTTTGAACTTCATCGATTTGTTCAATTGCTTCTTGCTGCTCCTTGTCTGAAAAGAAAATAATTCAAAATTTAAGAAGCTTGCATTATTTTTTATTTTTCTCTATTCAATGGAAATTAATTTTCAAAAACATGTTGGAAATATATTTCCTGATGCAGGTAAAAGGTTGATTGTATCATTACAGCCTAGGTCTAAGTTAGAATAAAAAATGTGTCTTAGGGAAAAATTAAGGTACAAATTGGCTAAATTTGGCTTAGCACTAGACAATTTAATTCTAGTGGTAAAAGTCTACAATCACACCAGGTACAAATCAACTTAATGTTACTATATTGTTTACAAATTTTATTTCAATGTCCAACAACTATTTATAATAAATAACCTGAACAAATATGGATGATCCTGTCTTTAATATGTGCAAAGGTTTAGAAGAAAATAAGCCGGATACTACAGGGGGCGTAACTCTTAATATTAAACAATCATCGAGAATTGGCGGCTGGACACAAAACTTACCAATTTATTGCATTAACACCTTAATTGGAAAAATTCTTTAATTTGGAATTAATAGTTATGATATACAATAGCAATAAATATAATAACTAGCGAATAGTAAGACATCTTAAACAGCTGAGTTAGAAAATATAGACCAACAATTCCTGTAGAACACATGGTCGTTTTTTTTTTGGGTCATCATGCCTAGCTTGTCTTGAGCAGGCGTCGGTGCCCTGTTTTTTCCCAACAAAGTTAACAATTTGTATAACAGTTACAGTACAAAAATAATTAACGAATCTTATAATAATTTGCAAATTATATTTCTAAATATTATATTCTTACCGGCCTGTTCGTCTGCGGCATCGTGGTTATTTTTCCCTTCAGGTTTACTGACTTTAGCTGGGGTCGCCATTTTCAACGTGAAGCGGGGAAAAAAGAACTGGTAGATGCGCAGTCGCAATGATTACTCTTCCGGTCACTAAGTGCGCGGATGAACCGGCGTTTAATTTTAACCGAAACAAAATGAAGTACAACCGTGTTTTTCTTTTAAATTTTTATTTCTTACGTGTCAAAGATAATTAAATTTATTGATATAAAAACATTCATTTTTTTCGACTTAAATGCGGTATAATTTGTGTCGGGCACTTATTCCGAGAGAACGCGGTCAATTCCTTTGTGTCTTAATAAAAAAGTAAAATGAGGTTGCCTGGAATATAACATGGAAAACGAAATATTTTCAGAACTGCAAACCGTAAAATTTAAAAATGAATAATTACAACCGGTATAACTCTTCCACGGGTCTTTAAACAAAAAAAATAAATAATTAATGGTTCATTGATGCATAAGGTAGTATGATAGAGAAGTACACTACCTTTATTTGGTTAAAATGTATTTTCCTAAATATGTGTCCCTTGTTAAGGCCCCAGAAGAAACTAAGGACCGAAGCCGAATGTTGAATTGAATACAGCAAGAGGCGTAGGGTAGTGAATGCTTGAATTCAAGAAAGGGTTACATTTATAAGTCTCCTAGAATTTTAATTTAAACACCCTCATTTAAAAAATCTTTGTAAACCAGTATTTCTAAATATGAATGCAGTGGCATGAACTGATACTAGAATTAGAGTCGTGTTGACTGTCAGCAACTGAGCGGCTAGCCATGGCATGCCATAATAAGATTAATAAAATAATAATGAAAATGGGGTGGGGGGGGGGGGCTAATTTGGCGAGCAGGACGCATAATTTTTTCCCTTGATTTATCGTTTTTGTTTAGGAAAATCGACAAATATGGTTTATACATTAATAAGAATAGTTTTTGCTAACTGAGCGGCTAGCCATGGCATGCCATAATAAGATTAATAAAATAATAATGAAAATGGGGTGGGGGGGGGCTAATTTGGCGAGCAGGACGCATAATTTTTTCCCTTGATTTATCGTTTTTGTTTAGGAAAATCGACAAATATGGTTTATACATTAATAAGAATAGTTTTTGCTTAGAGTCTATCCATAAATGACGTCACCAGTGGCGTAGCCAGGATTATCCCCCCCCCTCCCAATATTATTTCCCCGCCCTTTTCCATGAATAAAACTCGGCAGTTGGCCTAAAAGACGCTCCTCCGTATAATGAAAAAAAAATGTGGCCCGGGGCGGTCCACTCCCTCTGCACTCTCCCCTCCTACGCCAATGGACGTCACCCTATCCACACCCCACAAAAAAAAATGTGTCACTTATGTGTAACAAAATGTAAGCACTCACATCCCACGTTACCACAAATTCATGACCCCCTCCAGACATCACTCTCTCTTTCTCTCTCCCTCTCTCTGTCCTTCTCTTCCCTTAGGTGTCATTTATCATTAATGAATGGCACTTTATATTACTTATAAGGTTATAGAGCAAAATAAAATTTTCTATCTACGAACAACTGAGTGGTTTACATTTATTGGCTGATTTTACGATTTGCTCTACATCTTAATATACAAATAAAGTTGTATCAATATTGATTGGTGCGCAATTTTAGTTTTTTTTTTTTTTTCTGTGAGCACCATATAATCTCATAATATGTTTCTGACTTGAATTGAAGTCTAAATATTTGTTATTATAATAATGTCTAAGTAAATGGGAGCCCCCCAGTATTTTATAACGTCATCAAAGACACACTTTAGAAGGGATATATAGCTTTGACCTGTTGTTGGTTACCCCTCCTCCATAGGGCCACCCATAAATGACGTCACGCTATTATGGCCTAATTTTAACCACCCAATCGTCACAACATTCTCACACTATTTAGACATCTTAACAATACATCCTTATATCGTCTAAAATCCGTAAGAATTATACTTGTCCTTAAAAATAGTGGAGATTGAGTATGTATCGGTCATTGAATTGGCAACCCTGCCCCCTCACAGTTTTTTTTTGCCCTTTACACCCATAAATATAGTCATTTCTTTTTAGTTTTAAAACAAACCTGTAAAATCGCCTAATTTAAATTAATAAGACACGGTATTTTCCTATATTTTATTTAATTTTGTTAAATAAATGAGCCTGCCAATATCAACATACAATTACATTTATAAAAGAAATGAAAGTTTAGATATAGACCAGATTATAACTTGTCTGCTTTACGTTATAAATAACATTTTACCTTCACGTGCTATTCGAAGTATAAGATACTTTAAAGAATTTTAAGTTGAAACTGAATCAGCGGAATGATAGGTTGTCAATTCAAGGGAGAATACTTATAATTATAAGTGCAGAGATATGAGTACCGGTATTTGTGGAGTTACCTACAATTGAATTGCCGGCAACCGGGAGACTTCAACTTCAAGGGACCTACTCTTTTTAATGTTTCAACTAACATGATCATAAAACTTTCCTTTGCGTCAGTGGCGTAGCGAGGCAGGTGCGGGGGGTGCGGACCGCACCGGGTGACACCATTTTAGGGGTGACACCCAATTGAAAAATTGCATATTTAAAGGGCACACATTGCTCGCAAAAATCGAGATTCATAAAAGAATAACCGATCACACATATATTTTTCACAAATGTAACCAATCCAAATGCGGGCTTTATTAAAAGTTCAAGGTTGATGCTATACTGTGGACTTATTTTAACAAGAAAAAATCGATCATAGAAGGTTTGTTTTTTTTTTTTTGGGGGGGGGGGGGTTGACACCATGAGTTTACCCCCCCGGGTGATACCAACCCTAGCTACCCCCCTGATTGCCGTTAAATAAATTTAACAAAA